AACTTACCCATATAGCTGTTTCTATTTATAATGTTTTTATTCACATTGGGACCAATAAAATCTTTTATTGTCCACTTTGACATTATTCCAACCGGATGATTTTTCTGATAATTGGTAAATACAGTAGATGAGAATTAAAAAATACTGCTCGGCTTACATTATAGATATTTCCAAAGTTATCAACACTTTCATATGCATAACCCGTTATGTCCCCATTATCATATTCATCTTCTTCTGATGAGTGTGGCTGAGTTTTGTCCGATGTTTTTTGTAAATTTGCATCACTTTTATGAAAAAGAAAACAAGAATTTTTTAAACCTTTGAATGGGTTCTATTACTAACATACTATAACGATATTCAAAAATTAAAGTAAGTAATAATTTAAATTTACGTTAAATATTTTAACAATTTTAGAGATTTCATTTAGCCGGCTCGAGATTATTTTAGTTTTGTTTTGTTTTGTTACAAATAACAGGAAAGGAAGCTAACTTCGGCACGCCGAATTGAAACTACCATACATACAATAGCAAAAAGAACAAAGTATTATCAAGTTTCATTACCTTTACCTATACCTATTATATTTACAGTTTGACAATTACAGTACACAGGCCATGGATGTTTCAAGGCATACCTACACAGGTTCAAACACGAGGCTGATCCGTTCTGCGATTACCTCTTATATTTACAGTTTGACTATTACAGTTTGACGATTACAGTACATAGGCCATGGATGTTTCAAGGCATACCTACACAGGTTCAAACACGACACTGATCCGTTCTGCGATTACTGCGGCAGCGGAGTCATTGAGGACGCAGAGCATGCATTTTTCTCATGCTCTTGGAAGCAGCAACAAACTGTCGCCTCACACCAGAAAACATTATGGGGTGTATGCTGGAGGCGCCGCCCATGTGGGAAGCGGTTACTAATATGGCAGCAACCGTACTGAAAGAGCTGAGGCGCCGCGAAAAGATGTGACGCACGGACGGCGAACGATGAGCGGCACCTGACCGCCCCGTGAAGTATAGCTTTGCGGCAGTCCCGCGGGAGTGGACCCTCCTTTTCTTTCCCCCTTTTTATATTGTATTTGTATCTATATTTTATATCTTTAATCTAAAATAAAACTCCCAGCTTCACAGTTTTCTCCACATCTACCGATCGTTTCTATATGACTATATGACTATATGATATAGTTGCCCGAATTTTATAAAATGAATACCAAAATTCTGAAATAATACAAAAAGCTTATGTTTGGGAACGAGACACCCTGTATTGGGTTTTTTCCTTTTGTTTTGATCGCCGCTGCCGTCAGCCTTATCAGCGGTCGCTAAACGAGCATCACATCGCTAGAAACCTCCCACTTTCCCCTTATTTGGAAGGAATCATTCGTTATTCCTCTCCACAAAAAAGGTAGCAAATTGGATGCCAACAATTACAGAGGTATCTCTAAGTTGTCGGCCATCCCTAAACTGTTCGAAAATGTTATTACTCCTCATCTGCAGCATCTGTGTAGGTCAATTATTTCTCCATGTCAACATGGTTTTATTAGGCGAAGATCAATTACAAGGAATCTGTTGGAGCTTACTTCCTTTATTATAAAGGGATACCGAAATAACTTTCAGACAGATGTAATCTATACTGATTTCAGTAAAGCATTTGACTCTGTTAACCATTCCCTTCTTGTTCGGAAACTCGATTTGATGGGATTCCCGACTGATCTTCTTAATTGGATCTCAGGTTATCTAAATGGCAGGACGCAGAAGGTCCTTTTCGAAAATAAACTATCTAATGTTCTTAGGGTTACATCTGGCGTCCCGCAAGGGAGTCATTTGGGTCCCCTACTGTTTACATTATTTATCAACGATCTGCCCGAAGTTTTGACCAACTCCAGAGTACTTATGTATGCTGATGACGTCAAGCTTTGTGTGCAATATAATGATGCTACTTGCCAATCAGACTTACAGACAGATCTTAACAATTTTCAAACATGGTGCTGCGTGAACCTATTAAACTTAAACGGCTCTAAGTGCAAGCTAATGACATTCTCCCGTATCACTCCTAAGCCTGCAACTTATACGCTAAACGGCTGCTCTTTGGAAAAAATTAATATAGTTGATGATTTAGGTGTCCGGCTGGATCCTAAACTCGACTTTATCGATCATATTTCGTGCATGGTGAATAAAGCCAGGGGCGTGCTTGGTTTCATTAAACGGTGGTCTAAGGAATTCAATGACCCCTATGTCACAAAAACGTTATATACTTCACTTGTTCGTCCTATCTTAGAATATGGATCCTGCGTTTGGAGCCCTCAGTATGGCGTCCATAGTAAACGCATAGAATCGGTTCAAAAGAACTTCTTACTTTTCGCTTTACGCGGTTTAAACTGGGATGCAAACCAGAGGTTACCATCTTATTCTAGTAGACTCTTACTAATTAACTTACCCCCCTTATCTGATCGTAGAACCATGCTAGGTATTACATTCATATACAACTTAATCCGTGGTGACGTGGAAAGTACTGACTTGCTCGGTCAGCTAAATTTTCACGTACCAATAAGAAACACTAGATCCTTTTTACCATTAGTTTTGCCCCACTGTAGAACATCCTTTGAACTGCATGAACCCTTTAGAGTCCTCTGTGCAAACTATAACGATTTGTACACAATAATATCTAACGTTGATAGCCTCCCAAAACTAAAAACTTCAATCTTAACCTACTTACGCATGCAAGCAACCAATCCGGCAGTACGCCAGTAGTAGTCTCCCCGCATCCTTTTTTTTTTTAAGTCCTTCGCGTTTTACTAATTACTAACAGAACAAGCACGTGCTTGGTGTCGCAAGTTCCACTTGATATGTACTGTACATAGTGCATCAACGTCTTGCAAGACATAAACGAGCATCACATCGCTGCACCTGCGCGCGAGCTTTGCCCAGTAATTTGCCATTCATTTCTAAATCCTAACTGTAACTTGTTTACGTCTTCGACTAGCATAATCGAATGATGTGCATGGCCAAAGCTTAATCAGACACATTTTTGCTTTCAATGCAATCAAACGCAGCGCGATCGCCAATGTAAAATTTAAGTGCTAGGAAATAAATAAAATCACATTAAACAGTATACACCAGGGCGGATTCATTTATAAACATTCAAGAAACTGGTCCTTTTAGCCGGATTCCCCAAAACTGTTTATTTTCGGCCATTTAATTTAATTATTGAGGCTTTGTCAAATTCAAGACAATTATTTGCGGATTGTGCGACATTCGGAAGGGCTGTATGCCTTCCAATCGGAGTCGGATTGGGAAAATTCGGACATCGATTTTTGATTCACACGCCATTCTAAGCAACAGTCTGGAGGATCTACGGCGTGATCAATCTTGTATCAATATTTCGGCCACTGTTCAAGGAGCAGATGCGGCCCAGAGAAGCCATGAGGATTTCCAGTTCGAGCGAATCAAACTCCCAACCTTTTCCGTGAATTATGAGGATTGGAAACATTTTTCGGATATGTTTACGGACTCGATTGCTTCCAATCTAAGCCTGACGGACTGCCAACGATTTCCTTATCTCAAATCTTACCTGTCCGGAGATGCACTCAATTTAGTCAAACATATTCCGATGACTAATGAGAAGTATCGTAAAGTATGGGATCGGTTTGAACAGCGATATAACAAACAATTGATAATTATCCGATAATTTCTAAACAGTTTCATGACACTTCCCAGTGCTACAACTTCTAATCTTACCACAGTGCAAAACTGGACGATGGTGCAGATAAAGTAATTCGTGGTTTGCGAGGATCGGGATTCCTGATTTTCATCCTATTGTCAAAATTGGATGCCGATACCTGCCATGCTTGGGCGCAGAGCGCAGACTCCGAGGATAAAGGTGTGACCATCAACCAATTTCTTAAAATTCTCAGCTCTCGCTGCGATACTTTGGAGGCTTTTCACTTAGTTCGACCAACCCAAGCTCGACGCACAGCCACAACGCACCACGCAGATACGCATCCTAGACGAGAAGAACCCAAATGTACATCGTGCCAGCAAAATCATCAACTGTTTAAGTGCTCTCGGTTCAACGGACTCGACATCACAGCCCGCCGGGAGTTTTTCAAGACGATAAAGCTATGTTTCAATTACCTCAGCCCCAGTCATATGCCGAGTAACTGCACATCGAGACATACTTTTTGGATTTGTCGCCGCAAGCATCACACCCTAGTTCATGGCTCGGCGCAGCCTAATCCAAATGCTAACTACCTGAAGAGAGCCGTACGGACAGCCGCGATCGTCCATAAACCTCACAAGCGGCAGCTACAATCGGCCAGAATCAACCGCCTGGTCAAGAGATTCAGCAATCAGGGAGTTTACCTCCCGCGGAAAATAACTTCACGCATCACAGCCTGGAGAATATTTCAGCTGCAGGTTCGCAGACTCTGCTGCCAACCATCCTTGAAGACGTCGTCGACGCCTGGGGAAATACAACAACCTGCAGGCTGCTCTTGGACAGTGGGTCCACAATCATCTTGGCGTCGGAATCATTTGTTCAGCGAATAGGCATACGTCGAACGCATGCCCGGATTTCTGTTCTCGGTCTCGCAGCCAACAGCTCGGGCGTTACCCGAGGACGCGCACATATCAAGCTGCGCTCTCGTCAGTCGGACCGAACTATCGAGCTGGTCCCGTTTATTCTCAACTCGCTGACATCCTGAGTTCCGGCCCAGACTATTTACACCTCATCTTCTATGTGGCAGCAAATCTGCGAGCTTCCCTTGTCAGATCCCACATTCTGCACGCCAGGATCCATCGATGTCATCGTTGGATCAGATCAACTCTGGTCTCTATATACTGGAGAACAAAAATGCTTTGGTAACGATTTTCCTATCGCTCTGAATACTGTTTTTGGTTGGATTATTGCAGGCTCTTAGAATACATGCGATGATTACCTGACCTCAGCCGTTACTCATCACGCGGACCTAGACTCGATGGTTCGCTCTTTCATGGAGATGGATAATGTACAGCCTAGCCAGGCTCTTTTGGACGCCAACGATCCCACAAAGCGTCATTTACACGCGCTTGAAGAACGGGGTTTGACTACGAAATGTCGCGTAGTTTTCGATGGATCGGGAAAGGACAGCTCTGGAGTGTCCCTCAATGATCATCTCCAAATTGGTCCACCTATCCAACGCGATCTTATTGGCGTTTGTTTACGTTTCCGGCAGCACCAATATGTAATCCGCGCAGATATCGAGAAGATGTTCCGAGGAATTCAAGTCTTTAAACCGCACACCAATTATCAGCGCATTGTTTGGCGCAAGAACGAGAATGAACCACTGCTTCGCCTGTTGACGGTTACCTACGGATTGGCACCGTCACCATTTCTGGCTGTTCGAGTTCTCAAGCAACTAGCCGAGGATCACAGCCAAGAGTTCCCCGCAGCAGCACACGTGCTTCTGCACGATGGTTATGTAGATGATATTCCAACTGGGTGCCCTCATTTGAAGAGCTCGAAGAGCTCATAATCCTCAAAAACAAGTTAATTCAACTTTTGGATAAGGCGCAATTCAAACTACGGAAATGGAGTTCCAACAGTTGGCGTCCTTTAAAATTATTGCTAGAAGAGGACAGATGTTATGTTATGTTATCCAGCTTCTCAACAAATCAGCCGCGGATTCACCAATCAAAATTCTTGGCATCCAATAGATTCCCGGAAAGGACGTCATGTACCTCAATATCAAGGAATGCGATTCGACCATTTCTCCGACGAAAAGGGAACTCTTGTCGCAGCTCTCAAGAATCTATGACCCGCTTGGATTGGTAGCGCCAGTCACAGTTCTAATACAGCTCATCTTCCAAGAAAGCTGGACAAGTGTCATGCAATGGGATGACCCGATTCCTGAAACTCTACGCTCGCGCTGGAAGGCCTTGGTGGAGGATTAGCCAACACTCACGCGATGTCAAGTGCCACGATACATTGCGTCACCATACCAAGAATTTCAACTACACGGATTCGCCGACGCATCCGCGCAGGCCTATGGAGCGGTAGTTTACGATCGAGTCGCAGTTGGATGCAGTTTTCTAATCACTCTTGTTTCTGAAAAAATCCGGGTAGCACCGATCAAGCCCGTTTCGATCCTACGTTTGGAACTGAATGCTGCTCTACTTCTTTCTCGATTGCTCACGATTGTCAAAACCTCACTAACGATTCCTTTTTTCAGCACGAGCTGCTGGACAGATTCAGAAATTGTGCTACGCTGGCTTTCAGCTCCCCCACGAAACTGGAACACATACGTCTGCAACCGAACGTCTGAGATCCTGAATGACTTTCCCCGCAGCTGCTGGAATCATGTTCGCACAGAGGACAACCCTGCCGACTCTGCGTCTCGAGGACTTCATCCGTTCAAGCTTCTGGAGCATCGACTGTGGTGGAAGGGTCCATCATGGCTGGCCACACCGCCCTCTGAGTGGCCACCGTCTACAAGCAAGTTCAGCGTATCTCCAAATCTCGATGTCAACACCGAAGAGCGATCTGTCAAGCCCACAACTCTACATAACTTTCCTGATGAAAGTATCTACGAGTTACTCATCCACAAATTCTCAACCTGGACGCGTCTACTAAGGGTATCTAGCTACTGTTATCGCTTTATTCATACTCTTCGATCTCGTCATAGGAATCCGGCACCATTCCTTACATCCGAAGAGTTGCAGGCCGCACGTTGCCGACTCATCCGACACGTGCAACAAACTTTCTTTGCCAGAGAATATGCGCAGCTAGAGAATCGACGCCCGTTTAATGCTAAATCGCATTTAATTCGGTTCTCCTCATTTCTGTATGATCATGGAATTATGCAAGTCGGTAAAAGAATCGAAACATTTACACTCAACTTCAACGCTAAGCATCCAATCCTAATTCCAAAGGATTCACCATTAGCTGGACTCCTGGTTCGACATTTTCACGTTTCACATATACACACTGGAGTTGATGCTACGTTCACCAATCTTCGTCAACAGTATTGGATTCTGGGTGCTCGCAATCTCGTCAGAAAGGCAGTTTTCCAATGCAAACGCTGCTTTCTTCAACGCAAAGGCACCAAAGGCACCTCGAGTTCAAGCTAGCCGCTGTTTTCAACATACAGGGCTGGATTACGCTGGGCCAATCCACACTTTGGAAAGGCGTGGTATTCAATTTTTGTCTGCCTAACTACAACGGCAATCCATATCGAGGTTGTCAGTGATCTGACTGCAAAGGCCTTCATCGCAGACTTTCAACGATTTATTGCATGACGAACGAAGCCCACCGATCTATACTCGGACAACGGAACCACATTTCATGGCGGGAAACCGACTTAAAACAAACAATCTAATGATGAGGAATTGGCTGGATTCTTCCCCAACGAAGGCATTTCTTGGCACTTTATGTAGGAAGCCGGCGTTCGTTTAATAAAGCTTCATATGCGACGGAGACTTGGATCCACTGTTGCCAGAGTCGCTTTTCCCGTCAAATCTGGCTTTTTCTGAATGCCATTTGCTAGAAAAATTTACAAACAACGGGCAGCGGGAATTCTGGCTTTTTATTTTGTTTAAATGATTTGTACCGATTTTTATACCCTTGCAGGGTATTATAATTTCAGTCAGAAGTTTGCAACGCAGTGAAGGAGACGTTTCCGACCCTATAAAGTACATATATTCTTGATCAGCATCAACAGCCGAGTCGATCTAGCCATGTCCGTCTGTCCGTCTGTCTGTTTCTACGCAAACTAGTCCCTCAGTTTTAAAGCTATCTGAATGAAACTTTGCATATAGTCTTCTATATGCTCTCACTGCTATATATGTCGGAACGGGCCGGATCGGAGAACTATATCATATAGCTGCCATACAAATGTTCAATAAATTTTTAGAAAAAAAATTATAACTTAGCTGTTTTTCAACATATGTGCACTATTTTTTACATATGACCATTTTATATTATTTCTGAATTTTGGTAAAAATTTTATGAAAATCGGACGACTATATCTTATAGCTGCCATAGGAACGATCAGGAAATTAATAGAAAAAAAATTATAACTTCGTTGTTTTTCAAACTATTGTTATCTACTCTGAGATATAAGCTTATTTTATTAGTTCAGAATTTTGGTATAAATTTTATGAAAATCGGACAACTATATCATATAGCTGCCATATAAACCGATCGGTAGGTGTAGGGAAAATGTAAAACTGGGAATGTAAAACTGTAACTGTCAAACTCTCAACATAATCAGTATAGATAAAATGCAATGAAATAATATCTGCAAAGGTATACAAACTTCGGCGTGCCGAAGTTAGCTTCCTTTCTTGTTTTGTATATGATCGTTACATTGGTTACGTTGTGACGCCTCCATTCCTTCGGCGCACAACCCTACCTATTAAGATAAGCATATAGACTAAGTGTATAGATAATCCCCCCCTTATGTTATAACTAGTCTGTAATTTTTGGTAGTAAGACGGCACTGAAGCCACTTCAATTATTAAATCTTTCGTTGGCATTGGAGCCGTAAGCAAGACCACCTTGAAGTATATTTAAAGTAGGGACAATTAAGTTAAAATAATAAGCTAAGTTCAGCACCTCAGAGATCGCTGAACCGGGTACATTATCGACTAGTCGAACCAGATCAGTTCTCGGTGAACCGGTTCGAACCACCGGTTCACTCAAAAGCTATGACAGCTCGCGTCTTCCGTCATTCGCTCTCTTCCGTTGAAAACTTTGCACCGAGGCAGACGTGCCCATCGCCGCGTCTCCGCGACCAAGTCGAAATCGAAGTGCATCGTGTCCTTGTCCACGACCGCGACGTACGCGTTACACAGTGACATCAACTACAAGAGCCCACGCATTCACGCGCCGAATCTTTTGCCAGGCAACGACCGCGATCTACAGCTAAGCGCCCGCAGACACGTGGGATAGATTCGTAAGTTGCAGGAGTAAATTCTGTAAGGCAGTAGTAGGACTCACCCTTAGATAAACTATAACAATAAACTAACAATCGAACCTACCCATAGTAGTATTTCCCTAGTAGTATTGGTCACAGTTTTCAGGTTCCTCCGATCTCTGTCCCGCTGACGGCCCAAATACTGCGTTTCGGCTTTTCCATTCGCACGTGTTTTTAAGGCTCTCCCGTGCTCCCAGCCGCAGCGTCACGTCAGCACAGGCTCTTTCCGTGCCCAGCGTGCCGCCGCGACTGGAGGACACCTGCTCCTCTGCCCTCGCTCCGCTAGGAAGCCTTTCCCGTGCTCCCAGCCGCAGCGTCACGTCAGCACAGGCTCTTTCCGTGCCCAGCGTGCCGCCGCGACTGGAGGACACCTGCTCCTCTGCCCTCGCTCCGCTAGGAAGCCTTTCCCGTGCTCCCAGCCGCAGCGTCACGTCAGCACAGGCTCATTCCGTACACAGCGTGCCGCCGCGACTGGAGGACACCTGCTCCTCTGCCCTCGTTCAGATAGGAATCCTTTCTCGTGCCCACAGCCGCAGCGTCACGCCAGCACAGGCTCATTCCGTGCACAGCGTGCCGCCGCGACTGGAGGACACCTACTCCTCCGTCCAATCAAAATTCTTGGCATCCAATAGAATCCCGGAAAGGACGTCATGTACCTCAATATCAAGGAATGCGATTCGACCATTTCTCCGACGAAAAGGGAACTCTTGTCGCAGCTCTCAAGAATCTATGACCCGCTTGGATTGGTAGCGCCAGTCACAGTTCTAATACAGCTCATCTTCCAAGAAAGCTGGACAAGTGTCATGCAATGGGATGACCCGATTCCTGAAACTCTACGCTCGCGCTGGAAGGCCTTGGTGGAGGATTAGCCAACACTCACGCGATGTCAAGTGCCACGATACATTGCGTCACCATACCAAGAATTTCAACTACACGGATTCGCCGACGCATCCGCGCAGGCCTATGGAGCGGTAGTTTACGATCGAGTCGCAGTTGGATGCAGTTTTCTAATCACTCTTGTTTCTGAAAAAATCCGGGTAGCACCGATCAAGCCCGTTTCGATCCTACGTTTGGAACTGAATGCTGCTCTACTTCTTTCTCGATTGCTCACGATTGTCAAAACCTCACTAACGATTCCTTTTTTCAGCACGAGCTGCTGGACAGATTCAGAAATTGTGCTACGCTGGCTTTCAGCTCCCCCACGAAACTGGAACACATACGTCTGCAACCGAACGTCTGAGATCCTGAATGACTTTCCCCGCAGCTGCTGGAATCATGTTCGCACAGAGGACAACCCTGCCGACTCTGCGTCTCGAGGACTTCATCCGTTCAAGCTTCTGGAGCATCGACTGTGGTGGAAGGGTCCATCATGGCTGGCCACACCGCCCTCTGAGTGGCCACCGTCTACAAGCAAGTTCAGCGTATCTCCAAATCTCGATGTCAACACCGAAGAGCGATCTGTCAAGCCCACAACTCTACATAACTTTCCTGATGAAAGTATCTACGAGTTACTCATCCACAAATTCTCAACCTGGACGCGTCTGCTAAGGGTATCTAGC